TTTTCCTTAATCAAGAATGGGTTCAATGCAGGCTAGCATACTAAAAAGCATATTTTTTATAAAAGTCTAACGAAATATCATCCCTGCAAAATCCGCAGAATTGTTCCAACTTTTCCTTAGTCAAGAATGGATTCTGCGTGAGCTAGCTTATTAAATAGCATATTAATTATAAAACTTTAATGAAAAAATATAAAAAGCAAATCTAACGAAAATTTAGTAAATGCCCATTGGATATTACATCCAAAATTCTGGCTAAAATTAAGATAAAGTGCTAGCCAAAATGATCTATCTATTACTTTCTTGCATCTCCAATCGTGAACGAAGCCTGTCATAATACTGAATAACATAATAGCCTCTAATATGTAATGGACATTGGCCACAAGCAGAAGCTGTAGGTTTCCTACAATCAGAACATGGTATCCATTTTTTAGCTTTCCAATGAAATCGGCAACCTTCTGGGCGAATGCAAGGGTTATTGCAAGCCTTTCCGGTATTGCGAAGAAATGGGCAAGAATATTCGCCGACCATCTTACTTTTTTATTACTAGATACGAAAAGATTAATTAATAATTAGTTAATGCTTTAGTTTCGCAATAGCTAGAACCGCTTCAGAAAGCTTGTAAATACTTATCTTCAGTAGGATTTCTATGATTGAAAAGTGAAATAAATAATTAAAGAAAAAAATATATAAGCAAGTAATAGTGCGACGGTTAAAGCTAACATCATGGTTAGAAAAACAAGAAGTGATAAAAAAGATACAATCTGTAAACATTGTGAACATGAATGCTCAACACCCCAAAAACTTCGTGAGCATATTAAGCAAAAAAATCCATGCAAACCATTACAAAAGCAGAAGGAAGTAGCTTCTATTCAAATGCCAATTCAGGTGTTTATTCAAAAAGCTACTCAACAGTCTATCCAAACTTCTGAAATCAAAGCACAGGTAGAAAACTCTAGTGTAAATAGGAGCAATAAGAAGAAGCCACATGTGGTAATCCCAACTCCAATTCCTGAGCTAGAATCTGAAAAAGAAGCTCTAGTACTTGGTGATGACTATATCACAGAAATTAAGGGGTACAAAAAGTTAGAGAAGGATTTAGAGTTTAGGGAACAAGAAGAATTGGAAATAGCGCTTAAAAGAAGAGCTGTAGCCGTACATCGTGCAAAAGTTCTCAAATCCCATCCAGATAATAGAAGCGATATACGAAAAATGTTAGAAAGCCAAAGAAAACAGTTTAGAGAAATACTTGAAAAGGAATTCAATAAGCGTGAACAATTTAAGTTCGCTCTATGTTCTCTTACTAAATTTCTTATAGATGATAAACCTGGGAATAAAAAACAGGGAAAAAAGAATTCACGAACTGACTGGCTTAGAAATAAGCAAATTATAGTTTATAATAGAGATGAAATAGATGATTACTTAAGCAATGCTTTCGAACAAATCCTATACCAAGTGAAGGAAAGAGGAGGTAAATCTAATGCTTGAGAATATATTTGGGTGGTAATACTGTATTGAGTGGAACAATTTGGAGTTCTTAGTTTTTTTTATTATATCACATGATCATTATGCATGATACAAATTTTATTATTATACACTATTTTTCTATGTATCAAAAAAAAAATTATTATAATAAAGTTTACAAATTTCTCCTTAATTATTACTTATTAATCAATAATCTATGTTCTAGTTTTCCTGGTTTAGCAAAACCAATTGCTGAATTTGATACAAATCTATAACGAAGTTAGGGGCAGTAACTCCACCGGGGACCATGGTGGCATACCTAACTGTGGAGGGGGGCTCCCCCGATCACAGGCGGGTTCCAGAATACATCCTGATTTGGGATATTAACTTGATAATTAAGTAAACCTGGTCCCGTGCAAGCAGTAAGAACACCAGTGTAATAACCGTGAGTACCGAAATCCCACTACAAAAAATTTGGTAAGTTTATATTATACATTAGATATTTGCAATTTAAAGAACATCAATGGCATGCTAGTCTTACCTCCTCATAATAAACTCCTGGCTGTCCTGCTACTGCTATATGTCTTCCTGGTATTGGTGTTACCTGACGTGTCCAAAGTCTTGCCTAGGATCAGAAATAGAAAAATTTAAATTTTGAAACTATTAATAATAAGTAGTTTGTGTAATACATACAATCATACATCGGTCAAATTGACCATTCGCATTCCTTGTAGAGCTTTTATTATAAATTTTAATCCCGAATACACATCTTACGTATTGTTGTCGCATCCAACGACAACACTTTGCATTCCAACCTCTCGGACCATCATACTTTTGAGATACTGCAACTTCGCACATTATTCGTGCATGGGGTCTTCCCTATATAATTAATTTACATTAAGACTAGGAAAATTAGGAACAAAATCTGATATGACGGAACCAACCGTTTTATCAACTGGGGGAATTTCGCGATGTCGGGAAGGTATACGAGGAGCTCTAAGAATTCTTAGTCCAAATTGTGGAGGTGGAGCTGGAGTTGGAGGTTTCGGAATGATACTCAAACTTGGATATATAGCAATATCAGGTGCCGAGGGTTTTCCTCTTCCACGTGGCTTATAGTGAGCTAATAGGATATGAGAAGGTTATAAAACTGATAACAAGACTAAGCGACTCAAAGGAATTTTTCTTACCTGAAGCACCTAGAACATCTATCGGAGGATTAATAATGATACCTCCATTGGGAACTTCAAAATATTTTTGAAGCAGTCCAACAACAGATGCGTGTTCCGCTTTTTCCATTTCAACTATAAATATGTTTCCTTTTGAATCGATGTCAAATTTGTATCCGCGTGTATCTTGACGTTCAAAGAAAGTATCGATTTTTTCCACCGACAAATTCCAGCCTATCTGTATAGGCAAACTATCATACGTGTCAATATTAGACAGAATTTAATCCATCTGTATGATGTTTACTTACATTCTCTCTTCAAAAGAGTCTTTTGCGCTCTGAAAATTCCTCTCTAGGGACATAATTCGTTTGATCATTTTTGAAGAAGATATCATCTAATGATTGTATTTTTTATCATTTTAAGTTGATCAGGTCTAAGGTTACTCAATGATAACGTTACACAAAATTAGCTTATTCTTCACATGATCACAAAAAAAAATAAATTAGAAAATCGTAATTTGACTATAGTAGTTAAGAGATAAGACTCAGATTTTTATTCCGCAGGTGATACATTCACTGCATATAGATTATATAGCTATTCATTTCGTAAAAAAATATATCATGGATAAGTTATAAATATAGTTATATTAATATTTAGTTGAAGGATATTAAGTCTATCTTCTTTTTTGCATTTTTCGCACAGAATCAAAATATTTTCCAGCATCAATTAAGACCTGACTTCTTTCAAATCTATGAACACTAGATTACATTAATGCAAATGGTTTCAGTAGTAATGGAGGAGGAGTCAATAAGCGTGACTCATTCCAAAATTTACTAATCAAACTAGGCGTAAAGTCTTTGATTTCCACAGGCTTGATTGACGTTATATTTTTGGGTTTAGTATACTTGCTAGGCGCAGTATAGTTGCATTGTATTTAATTTCTTGTTATGGCCAATCTATCAGATAATTGGCATCTCTTATGCTTCGAATAACTTATATAATCATAAAATTGATCTAGCGAAACATGATAAGGTCTATACAATCCATCAATAGAATACCATATATCCATATTTACAGTACAACGAATTTTTCTATCAGGCATACTGAGAAACTTCTTTTCTCTAGGAGTATTATCATTTCTAACCGCCTCCCAAATTTGTTTTGCTAATGAAACAGGCCTCTTCCTATAATTTCTATAAGCTCTTTGAATAAGTTTAGCACATCCATTCTCAGTTTTAGCTTTAGAACATTCATTATCCCAATGGTATTTTATCAAATCCTCAGATTTAATCTCATATCCATATCTGCGCCATCCACTGAAATATGTTTTTTTTTTGTTTTACAGTAATCTTTACCAATTTCCAGCAATCAAAGCAAATAGCCGTATTACTCTTATAGATTCTGGGTCAACGATAAGCATAAGAATTATCCATCTTACCATTTCTGAATCCAGCAAACAAGCTGTAGCGGTGATAAAAACTGAATCTCTGATTGGTTAATAGTTCTTGTAATCGATTTCTAACACTTACTGCCCAAAGCAACTAGTGACTGGCCTGGCTTGACAACTGATAATATGTCATATTTCCTTTCTATTTCGATAATTTTATTGATGTCAGTTTCATAACAGTAATTTACAATATATGCATTAATATATTTCATATCATATCCAGGATGATTATTGATGGGTTTAGGTACAACCTTATTAAATTGCTCATCTAGAACAATATTAAAACCTATTCTGGACATATTTATTAACAAATTAGATGATTTGTAACCAATTTATAACAGTTTGTAACAATTATATTATAATATAATATTGGATTCATTTTTATTCAATTACAACCATATCAGGATTTATATAGGGTAATTTTATATGCACAGCGCTTAGCTAAATTGGTTTATAGTATGACGTATATCACATGTATCATCCTAGATCCTATATGATTTAATCTAATACAAAATAATACAAATGAACTATATATAATTATATGAAATTTAGATCTATATCATCCAGATTATCCTCTTCACTTGAGCCTAAGTTAATAAAAGTATTTAGATATATGTTATGTTAAAACTTAGCATTAAGATATTAAACATTTATTTGTAAAAGTTGACGAATCATTAGAGTCAGATATAGGAGTAATATTTATAATATGCAAGGCCAAAATTCTTAAATATCCTTCAAGCTGGTCAAGTTTTTCATGGATGGTAAGGATCTCATCATTTGATCGAATATATCTATTAAGCTGTTCACTAAAGTGAGCTGTATTTGTCATAAAATTATTATATTGCTCGTCGTTCGCTGACTAGACACATCCTTTGATATTAAGAAGCTTATCATATAATACTAACATATTTTCATGGTTCTCAGCGTTAACTTCGTTGAATTTTTTAATCAGATATGTTTTAATTTCATCATCCAAACTCGTTTCCTTACTATCTTAAATAATTTTTGATTTTATTTTTTTCTTACAAAAAGGATTTCGCACTGCTTTTATAGGTTTTGAGTCTCTTTCGATGCAAAACAATAATATAATCTCATTACGATAATTTTAATAATACTAGTAGTCTTAAGAAATGTCCCATTATTTTACTAGCTATTTAGGCGTTTTGCATATTTTCCCTTTTTGATATTCACCAGCTCTTTCACAATCAGGAAACACAAAATATATCTTTTTTAACCGAAGACACTAAAGCAAAATTTAAAAAAAAACAAAATTTTAAAATATGTAAAAATTTATATATATAGTTTAGACCAACATGTGACACCTAACGAACATCTAAAGGATGTCACGTAAAATACAGACAGACTTCTAAAAATGAAATTATGTTTTTTTATTAAGGTTGACATGGCAAAGTCAATACATAATTGTATAAAAATCTTATGGGAGTAACCCAAATTCAAGAACTGGACTTCTTAGTCATATTTGCTTCACAATTCTTGTCATTTAATGATAACTCAATATAATATTGTTTATATCTTCTCTTCTTAGTTCTGAGAAAAAAGAAATGGGAAGGGTGATTTTATATATTTTATCTATTCCAATTTCATTAAAAATTTTATAAATGATACGAGCCCTTTTTATCTTTCTGCAAACAGTAGTCTGGTCGATGTTAGAAAAAAGACCTTCTACTTCACTATTAAGAGTCTCTTGAATATTATGATCATTATCAGTCATTTGTACTAGCATTCTGTCTCGATCTATAAGTACTACTCTAAATCGTAAATTTGATAATACTGCTAGATGATTAGCATTTTTTGCATTTATTTTCACATCTTCAGATTCAAGATATAAGTTGTAAATTCATTCCAAAATCCTACTAGAACTCTCATCCTGATGACTTTGTAAATTAGTAACTATAAAACTTTCATTTGGGACTGTATTTAACTCCCAAATAATAAGTGAAACATTGCATTCTAAATATTCTATACATCTATTTTGTCTAGATGAAGCTGATTCACTTTCTCTAGATAAAAGAGCTGATAAAGATACTGATACTTCAATTAAGTTAGTAGGTCTTGTAAAGCAAGTTAGGTTTTTATGTCTTATATTTTAGTTAAGAGAAATGGTAGAAGAATCCATTGTATTTGAAATAAAAGAGGTATTTGATAATTCTATATTAATATTTGGAGAGTTGAGAGGTATTTCTAGTATAACTCAAAATTAAAGTCAGTCTGAAAATTGGTAAGAGCATCGTAATCTATCCACATATCTTCATTTAAATATTCGATTTCTTTTACGGCTTGTATGCTTGACTTACTTGCATTAACTATATTTTCAGAAATACCAATTTCTATAGGCTTACAACATTTGGGATAATGCTATCTATAGGAATATTCAGATATGAAATATATAAAATGTAATATATACTTACAAAGTAGCCTAGCATACATTTGCATTAAAGTAACTTCATTAAGACAGATGCAACAAGTAATACTTTTAGGTGGGTTAATACCATTGACAAGAAGTTGTGAAGCTTGTTCTAATATAATTCTTAAAGTAATACGAGTGTTCTCTAAGAGTGATTCTATATTCAAAGAGAGTTCTGAATTGTATTTTTTTTCATATCCCTCCTTAAATACAAATAAGTGTAAGAACTTAATGCTAATCCATCTCTTGTAAAATGAAGATCAGACTGGTCTAATACATAATTGACTATTTAACTGAGATTTGTATCAGCTAACGCAGACCAATGCCCATGTCTAAAAAAGATTAGCTAATCTATATTTTTTATCACAAAGGGTATAACACAAAAAAATCTTCTAAGCTGATCACTGATCCAGATTAGTTAGATCAGATAATTCTTTGATTTTCTTAGGTGTCATAGTATTATATAGATAATATATTTTTCAGCCAATGCTTTTAAGTTTTTGATGTATTTTTATTACATCACGCTCTAATACTATAATAGAGTCTTTGATCTCTTAAATAGTACTTATCTTTTCTTTTTCCAAATATGTGTAATATTTTTTAGAAATCATTTTTTTATTTCTGAAAAAATTGAATATTTATCATACTTGAACAATATCTATAATTTATGTTAACATTGTAACTTGTCTTCTTACATGTATATACGCTATTCACTAGACGACTAGATTACTATTGTTCTGAGTATCTATTCTATTTCATCATCTGACCTTTCACGATTATCTTTCTTAGCTATATCATAATAATACTCATATAATTTCTCTAGGCTAGCATACAGATTATTATCTATATACCTTTTGTGATAATTTTCTAGCCTTAGAGTGTATGCCTCTTCTTTGAGAAATATCTTAACTGTAACTGTCTTAATATAGTCATTTGAATTCATTTTAGTTCGCAATTTCTTTAGATAGTCTCCATAGATTTCGCAAGATTATCATATTTTTTGCTCTTTTACAATGCAGTTTTTATAACTTTGACTTGTGCAAGTTCTATATCCTTATGATCAACCATTTTATATTGTTTCTACTATAACGATAGAAAAACTTTAATTAATAAAATTATATTCTTTGATAATTTTTACACCTGGAAAAAATATTTGTTATAAAGCATCTATTATTTGACTTAAAGTCTAACTTTCATAGCCCTTTCTTCTGCTTTCTCAGAAGATATTCCAGATGCTATCAGGCGTTTGTATAATCTAATTCGCTAATATCTATATGGGAGAGTTCAAATTCCATCAAGTAAGATCAAACGCTTATTATCATATAAATTCAACCCTATCTTATTTACCTTCTTCAGATATATTTTTAATGATTATAACTGCGTAAACTATCATGCTGAGTTAGTTTCTTATCCCTAAGATATTCTAAGAACTTGTTATGTTAAAGTTCCCTTTTGACCACACATTTCTTTATACCTTTTGCATTTTAGATATCATGCTTCTTTTTAGGGTCTTCTGAATCAGGATCATCAGGAGTTTTAAGATCATGACCTGTTGGAAGAACTGAATACATTTTTGGCTTTAAGCATACTGATTCACCTATTGGATTTCCCTTTGTCTCATCCTTCATTAGAAACAAGTCTCCTGAATAGTTAAGATCAAAAATGTCTGGTCTTTTTGCTTGATCTTTATAAATATTCTCAGTTTTTATTCATATGATAAACGAGTCTGTATCTGTATAAAGTAAACAGGTCTTTTCTTTATAGCGAGGCTTTATGTAACTGTACCAAAAGTTGAACATCATGGCCTTGCTAATGTTGAGAATTGCCTGCCTTACATAGATTAATTTGTTTAAAGTTACTGTGCTTTTAATATGTGGACTGCTATAATTTCTTCTTTGAATGCTTTAAAGCCTATATATAATGGCCAACTTGCTAGGTGTCTGATTTTTTTATTCTCTTCTGTTTGGAGTAATTCTATTCTCATATGTTTACGAATATTTTCCATTTGTTTGTCAAAGACTGCATTGTTCTTTACCTTATAATACATGACCTCAAACTCATCCCCATTAGCTTTAGCAATTTTACGCTTGCGAATATTTTCCTCAATATAGTCTTTCATCTATAGAGACTGCCGAAATTTAAGAGCACTATAAATCTTTGTAACCTTCATCCTGAACTTCATATATGTTTGAAGAGCTCAATAGTAAATTACATAATTCTTCTTAATAAAGAGAGTCTAGATTAATTTCTCTTCAGACACATATTTTTTATTTCCAACTTCTTTATCTTTTACTAATTTTTTATTATATAGACTAAGCCAGTTTTCTGATACTATTTGCTTTTCTAACACTAAAGGATAATCTGCAAAGAAATCATGCAAGTGCACTAGGGCTTCTAGATCAATTTCAAGTATATAGCTTATTTTTACATTTGATGCAATACTTTAAATATCTGATACTTTCTCTGGACTTACTTTACCTAGGATTTCTGTAGGCATGTATTGGATCATCACATCTAAATATAAGACATTCATATCATCATATAAGATATAAGACTTTGGCTTGCTAGTATCATAATTAGGATATTGTGGATTATTTGCTTTAGCATATCATTAGCTCACCATTATTATGCTACCATGAATGCTATTTTTAACCATCAGATATTTATCTATATCTGTTATGAGCTTAAGTTCAACTTCACTACTTTTGTATAAGGAATCATTAAACATTCCTAATGCAAATACGTAATGAGAGGAATCTAAGCCATCATCCTGCAAGCACATAATAGTATAATTTATAAATACATCAACAAGCAAAAATACATCTGTTTCAAGATATAAGTCATGATATTCTCCAAAGTTTTTCATCTCAAATGTTTGCCATACTTCTTGTGCATGTTTGTAATCCTCCTTACTAATATTTTGCTAACTAAGTAGTGAATAGAAATCTTTTCTTGATGAAAGCTCTGTTCTATTAAACTTGTCTTATAAGTTATCCAGTCATAAAGAAAGATACTATTTTGAAAAAAAAAGCTTTATCTTATTTATTGAGTAGCCTTTCTCCGTAAAGTACTTAACAGTTAAAAGAAATTTTTTAAGCTTTCTACTTAGATATTCAACTAATTTATCAAGCCCCATTCCCATATGCTGAAAACTATCTATGAATCAGAGCTAGCCAACATCCATAACTTTGTACTTTCCAATATTCTCTGAAATGCATTTTAGCTTATTAGCCGTAAACTTGCTCACAATTTTTATGAGCAGCTGAGAGTTATAACCTCAGAAATTATGGCAAATAAGAGATACTTTAGTTTCAAAAGAGCCTATTCGTAACTTTTTATTATAAGAATTATGAGCTAGGCCTCGGTACTTTCTATTTATATAATCATGATTTTTTAATTTTCGATTAAGTGCACTTAAAGCCTTTCAGTATCTTTTCTGTGCCCTTTTCTTTTTTAGATGTTCTTTTTTCATGCATGATTTCCATTCTTTGATTTCTAATAAATTATATTTTGCTTCTTCAAGTTTTTTGTACTATCTCTGGTATTGGTTTTAAAAAGGATTCCTTGCAAATCCAGTATTCTGTCACCTCATTATATGCTTTAAGATCTCCTGGTACTATTATCATTTCTATAGGTATAGATAAGTTCTCCTGTATGTTTGCCAGCTCTTTCTCAATTTTTGTAATGAATCTTTCAAGTACATCTGGACCCTTATATAAATCATGACTTATGATTTTATAGTTAAATAAATAATCTATATGAACAACTATATAGTAATAGCCACACAGCTTGTATATCTGTAATCTTTCAGTATGGGTTAATTTTGTCTTCTCTTCTAGAATTAACTTTTTGGTTAATATTTCTAAATCTCAGAAAATGTGATATAGATTTGGTTGCATACATTTATGGTTATAAAAAGTTTTGATACTCCTATTCTTAACTGGTATTTGCGATTGCTAGAAGGTATTATTTAGACTTCTGCATTTTGACAAATATTCATTATATCTTATCTTTAAAGAGTATAAATAAAAACAATAACAGCAGAAGTATTTTTACCCTTTATGTTTGCTATGATTGTATACTAGCTTATGTAAATCTTTGATAATACAGTAGTGACTTTTTCTTCTTATATAATTACTAGAAGATTACTTACTTATATTCATCCTCTTTTCTTTCTAAAACATAGCGAAAGTTAAGACATTTGTTTTAGTTGTACTATTTATAGACATATAGACTGATTTCTGGGTTATTTTCTGCAAACTTTTTATAAACTGGTGTTGAGACTGGTACTGAAATTGGGATATCTTCTATATTAAGCTCCTCTACGAAATCTCCATATAGCCAATGCAGATTTCTTTCTGAATGAACTTTAAAGTTTCTAAAATATACTATTTGAAATATCAGTTATCATTATTTTGAATATTAATAATTCCATTATTACATTTTGGTAGAGTTTCAGGTAAAGGTATATAGGCAGTAAGATCAATTGAATTGAAATCAGATATCTCTATACTAAATTCTTCTATATTCTGGATAAGCATCAGACATTTGGTATATTAGTTAGCTCTAACAATCATGCTATTACTTGCTTATATAATTTTTTCTTTAATTATTTATTTCTTATGTACTTATCACTTTTTATTATAGAAACCTTACTGAAGATAAGTATTTACAAGCTTTTCGAAGAGGTTCTAGCTATTATAAAACTGAAGTATTAATTAATTATTAATTAATCTTTTCAAATCTAATAATAAAAAAATTGGATGATTGGCGAATATTCTTTTTCATTTCTCTGCAATACTAGAAAGGCTTATAGGAATGCTAGTACTAGGCCTAAAGG